GCGCGAGCGGATACGGCGTATGGCATAATGCGCCCATGAACAGCTGACGTACCTTAAAGTTTTAAGATTAAGCTCATTTAAAATGAATGGGCCGCAGTGTGACAAAAACTGTGCGTTAACATTTCACACAAAACCATGCTCATACGTGTACACGGGGCCCCCGACCAGGGCCGGATTTGCTCTCTCTGCTGCCTCAATGCCAGGTTCCTCAATGCGCCCCCCTGTATGCAGGCTGCATACAAGTGCAGACATCTCAACTCTCCTGGATGTTCCGGGAGTCTCTCAGATAGCGGCTCCGGGACACCCTGGCAGAGAAACATTTTCTCCCGGAAAGGTTTACTCTGCTCGATCTAGGAGAGTAAACCCTTCCGTGCTGTCTGTTTTTTTTTTTGTTTGTTTTTTCTGACATCGGAAAAAAAAAAACGGCAAAGGAATGCACAGCTCGTTTGCTATTGGCTATTTCAATTTGCAATAGCTAATAGCAGACTAGCTATTGCACCCGCCAACTGCTGCTGTCAATCAGCAGAGGTGGACCTGAAGTTCTCCATCAGCTCCACTTCTGTTGACTGACAGCAGCAGAGGGCGGGTGCAATAACCAGCTTGCTATTGGCTATTGCAAATTGAAATAGCCAATAGCAATCTGGTTATTAGTTCCTATGCCGGTTTTTTTCTTTTTTGTAGCTGTTCTGACGGCAACAACTGTCAGCACATAAAAAACACAGCAGATAGCAAAGGAAGCATTAGCTTCTTTGCTATCTGCCATCATTTCAGGGGGGGGCTCTCTTCCTTGTTGCACCCCCCCACCAAACCCCACCATGGAGAGGGGGTTGACAGAGAACACCTCTCTGAAATGACTTATTTCAGGTTGGGATCCCTGCAAGTGATCTTGGCGACCTTGCTGAGATCACTTGTACAAAACAAGCAGCAGCTTCCCCGCTGTACATTTAAATGTAGAAAACAACTACCCGCCCGAAGCACAGAACTGCATGTCCCAGGCGTCGGGACATAGGAATTCCACACCCCTGCTGCCCCTCTACTCCCTGCTGCCCCGAGGCCGAGTCTCGGTTGGCCTTGTGGGAAATCCGGCCCTGGTCCTGACTCAAATTTGTGAACACACACAGACCAACTGATCTGTCCTGCGACCTATTGAAGAGCCTGCAGTCAACAAAGGCTACAGAGGCCGCCCTGTCCCTGCCGTGGACCGTAGCTGTCAACGCTCAGGCTTTTTCTGGGGCTGGCAATCACCCTCAGATTAATTGTCCCCAATTACATGTTAATTGCGTGTTAATTACCGTCATCTTTGCGAAGACGGAATATTTATAGCTGCCGCAGATACGTCTCCGCACCTTCCCTGCCTATCCCGTTTATTAATAGTTTGTTTCTAAGAAAGAGCAACAGCCATGGGGGACTGTATGATGAGCAGACATGAGCGCGCACTGATCAATAGACAAAGTGCATTCCAGATAGGCGTTGGAATCTGGTGTACTGACAGAGCTAATGATGACTCATATTTCATATGGGGTAGTCTCTAAAAGCAGAACCCCCCTCCATACAAAGACTAGTGTGCTTTCCGCAAAGTGCAGATATTCAGCTGTTACTGTAACATCTACCTGAACGTAATTTCTGATGAGGCTTTCATCTTTTACCTGCTTGCTGTTCCGTATTTTGATTAGCGTAGCTGCTATTTGGATTTTGTCAACTCGCCCTCTTGTGGTTGACTGGATATCAGGGAATGTGATTTGTTTTCACTAGACAGATTGAAAAAGAAAAAAAACACCATTTCATTTATTTATGCATCCATTCAAAATTTAGAATTACAGTTAACTCTCGGTTATCCGGTATTCAACTAACCAGAACTCTCATCTAACCAGAAAAAAAATCCCCTGCGTACTCATTGTTTTGATGATCCGCGGCATGTATTATCCTCGAACTGATTGCGTATCTATTTGTATTAATTTGCTTTTGATTACTACATTCCAATATTAATATGAAGTCAATACAAAGTTTTTGTCATGATATGGTATAGTATAGGGCAGTGGTGGCGAACCTATTGCACGCGTGCCAGGGAGGGCACCCGAGGCCCTTTCTGCTGGCACGCGAGCCCAGGTTCAGGTCACAAAACATTAAGGCAGCCGACGGGGCGAAATCGGCGGACGAGTGAGCAGGAGGAGAAGTGGGACGGAGCGGCAGGGGGTGGAGACAGAGGGAGATGGGGGCGGAGATTTGAGAGGACGGGAGGAGCCGGGGGACAGAGCGGCATGAGACGGCCGGAAACAGAGTGAGATCGAGGCGGAGATGAGAGGACGTGAGGAGACGGGGACGGAGCGGCATGAGACAGGGGGCGGAGACAGGGGGAGATGGAGGAGGACTGTGAAGACCTATGAAGACTGCAAAGGCAGGGACCTTGATGGAGGAGGTGTCGCCAAGGGGCCAGTCGAGCGGCGAAGCTGAGAAGATTGGGCGTCGAGGCAGCAGTGAAGGCTGGGCTTCCCGTGTAAGGTAGGAGCACTGTGCTGGCAGGGCCCACCATAGATTATGCACAGCCCACCAAAGAGTCACAGGTGGGCTGTGCAATACCTTTTGGTGGGCTTTGCAGGATCCATGGGGGGCTCTGCAGCCTGCAAAGCCCACCACAGATCCTGCACAGCCCCCCTGAGATCTGGCAGACTGCAGGGTCTCAGGGGGGGTCTCCGCAGGATCTGTGGGGGGCTTTGCAGGACTTGTGGGGGGTTTTCAGGATCTGTGGGGGGCTTTGCAGACTGCAAAGCCCCCAATTGATCCTGCACAGCCCTTCTGAGATCTGGCAGACTGCAGGGTCTCAGGGGGGGTCTCCGCAGGATCTGTGGGGGGCTTTGCAGACTGCAAAGCCCCCAATTGATCCTGCACAGCCCCCCTGAGATCCGGCAGACTGCAGGGTCTCAGGGGGGGTCTCCGCAGGATCTGTGGGGGGCTTTGCAGACTGCAAAGCCCCCAATTGATCCTGCACAGCCCCCCTGAGATCCGGCAGACTGCAGGGTCTCAGGGGGGGTCTCCGCAGGATCTGTGGGGGGCTTTGCAGACTGCAAAGCCCCCAATTGATCCTGCACAGCCCCCCTGAGATCCGGCAGACTGCAGGGTCTCAGGGGGGGTCTCCGCAGGATCTGTGGGGGGCTTTGCAGACTGCAAAGCCCCCAATTGATCCTGCACAGCCCCCCTGAGATTTGTCACAGCCTCTCACAGATCCTGCAGAGACCCTGCAGTCTGCCAGATCTCAGAAGGGCTGTGCAGGATCTGTGGGGGGCTTTGCAGGGTCTCGAGCCTATGCAGGATCTGTGGTGGCCTCTATAAATACATTGATTTTGCGTTGCAGTTTGGGCACTCGGGTTCAAAAAGGTTCGCCATCACTGGTATACAGTATAGTATGGGGTATGGGTATAGTATGGGGTGTAGTATAGGATATGGGGTATAGTATGGGTATTGTATGGTGTATAGTATGGTGTATTGTATGGGCTATAGTATGGGATATGGCGTGTAGTATGGGGTAAAGTATAGGGTATGGTGTATAGTATGGGCTATAGTATGGGTTATGGGGTATAGTATGGCGTGTAGTATAGAGTATGGGTATAGTATTGGGTATAGTATGGGGTATAGTATGGTGTATAGCAGGGACCCTCAAACTACGGCCTGTGGGCCGGATACGGCCCGCTAAAGTCATTTACCCGGCCCGTCCATCATGCAGAGCAGAAACAAGGAGAATCGGGTAAGTGACCTGGCCGCAATATACAGCATCTGCACCAGTGACCACATCCCTCGCTCCTATCCACGGAACTATGTCTGACTTACAGCCATCTCCTCCCTCCTCTCCGCTGTCAAAGAGCTTTGATAACCTGCGCAGCGGCCGGCATCTGACATCCTCTGAGAAGAGGGAGGAGTCAGCAGGGAGCGGCGCAAGCAGTGTGGAGCCGTGGAGGAGACTGCAGGCGGGAGTTTTGCACAGCCTGTGAATCCCCACTAGATATTGACCAGAAAGGTAATAAACATTCTTCTTCACAAGTTTGCCTGTGCAGGTGCTTTGGAAGTGCATTGGAGTTGAGAGGTCAGGGAGGGGGCCAAAGAAAAAAATATTGTATAAGGGTCTTTAGTTGCTTATGTCCACCACTGTACTGTACATGTGCTCACTTTACTCAGATGGGATCCGGCTAGGCTGGCACAGGTTCTCTCTCTCAAAGTTCTGGTCCAGGTCTCATTATGCTGTGACTTGGTGGGGGGGTCATCCTGCTGTGCCCTGGTGGGGGGCTCATCCTGCTGTGACTAGAATAGAAATGGCACCTTGCCTTTCTGACAGATGTAACAGAGCTACTCAATAGTTTTAAATGTGCAACTTCAAGGAAAGGGGAAGCTCATCTGTGAAATGCATTCACATGTGAAAGCATTTGAAGTCAAATTAGACCTCCTCATTAAACAAGTGAAGGAAGAAAACTTCTGCCATCTCCGCAAAACGCAAAGCCTGTTGGTGGAAAAACCAACAGTTGCATTCCCAAACAAAACTTGTGTGGATTCACTGCAAATGTTGGAAAGGGAGTTTCAAATTAGATTTAAAGAGCTTCAACTCCATGACTCAGGAACCATGCACTCAAAATGACAGCCATCTTTGGCAGCGCCTATGTCTGTGTAACCGTAAGGACACCCCCTCGTCCCGTACAAGAAACCATGACCCTGAAAGCAAGTATACCAGTATTCCCAGTGGTACCCTTCCTGCAGGTCTTTATACTGGCACCTGATCACCCCCCACCCCAATTCACCCCCCTCACCCACCTTCAGCACCTTCCGCATAGCCCCTAGCGCCCTAACCCTGAGACTGCCATGCTTGCCCTACTGGTAGCAGACTGGCATCTTGCACTGGATGCAATACATGCTGTGGTTCTGCAGCTCGTAGTAGGTGCATGTGGAGATCTTGCAGGGGCACAGCCTCCAGCTCACCCTGCCCTGCACAGGGGGGCACCAGCCGATGCCCAGGACGGATGGCAGCGCAGGCAGGACGGCAGACAGCAGAAGACGTTGCACAGCTCGCACATGTCTGTCGCCTCCTCGGGGTTCTTCTTGCACAGCTGGCAGCAGAGAGCGGCCGCCCTGCTCTGCTGGTAGCACTCGATGACGCCCTCCAGCACCCGGTCCTTCCTTCTTGCCTCCCGAAATGGCGAAACACCAGGGCCCGTTCCAGTGCGATCGCAAAAAGTGGTACAAGCACTATTTTTTTGCGATTGCACTGGACCGGAACGCAGGCATTGATGTGTCACGTGTTCTGGTGCAGACGATCATACTGCGGGCGGGGGGCATGGCTGCGGTGCCATTGACTTGAATGCTTGGCCACGCTCCCTCCCACCATAGAAATAAAGGAGGGTTTTGTAATGTGACCCAGTCTGTTCCAGCAGCTAACCATGCTGAAACGCCCTGGAAGTGGTGTGAACCAAGGACGTGCAGTCAGGGGAGGCAGGTGGGGCAGAGCCTCACCTAGTATTATGGAGGAAGAAGCTGTCAGCTTCAAGTCTGACGCTGACAGCTTTTTCTCCATTCAGATCGGCATCTAACAGGTTACACAGCAGGGAAATCCTCCCTGTCTCTTCCCTTCTTCCTTTACACTAGGTTGGGGGCGGGACTTTGTCTGGCAGGGGCTGGGCTTCAGGCCGGCGGGGGCAGGGCTGGGGAATGCCTCACCCGGAGCAAGAGGTACCGCAGGTCACTGGTGTGAACAGGCCCTGAAATGTTACAATTGTTACTAGAACATGAATAGATGCTAAATCTTCCAATGTAGATATCTGTGCCAGCTGCTGCTGTATAAGAGGGAATTGTCCCTCGTTTAGGAGAGATTTCCTCTCACTTCCTGTTGTGTCTCCGGTACAGGAAGTGAAAGAAAATCTCCCTGATGAAGCACAGAGAGCTTTTAATGATGTCATTCAGCACCCAATACTAAGACTAGAAAAAATACTTTTGGGCTGCAGATTCACTTTATTTATTATTTTTCATAAACATTTCTGGAGGAAATGAAAACATTTTCTCCTTTTAATAAAAAGAAAATGATCAGCACTTACATGTGATTTCCCTTCGGATTCGGCAGAAACATATTACATCAAGCAATGGCCTGGATATTGTTTTTCTGAGAAGCTGAGATCGGAGCCGGTAATGCAAACCAAAGGTGGAGATCAAATGGTCAATGGTATAGAGCAAGCTGTAGATAGAGAGAGAGAGAGAGAGAGAGAGATAATATAAGTCGTATGTAGAAAGATATATGAATACAATTGGAAAAATGGATGAATAATAGAGAGATGACGATCAGCTAAGATAAGATAAATAGATGAATAGATAATTGGATGTCTTGCACTTGATTTGAGAAAGCTAAATAGTAATAGATAGATAGATAGATAGATAGATAGATAGATAGATAGATAGATAGATAGATAGATAGATAGATAGATAGATAGATAGATTAGAGTTGCCACCTGTCTGGGATTCACCCGGACAGTCCGGGTTTTGAATGCTGTGTCCGGGTTTCATGGCAGCTGAAACCCGGGCACATGATGTCAGGCAGACAGGGCCAACCAAAATTAAGATTGGGACTACTGGCCCCCCACTGAAAATAGTCTCAACTGTGATATTTACATAAGAACAAGGTGCAACTCATTCTCCCACAAAAAAGTTTCCATGCGTCAGTAGAGTGTTCGGATTTTGCTGAAAGAAAAGGTGGCAACCCTAACATAGATAAATAGATAGATAGATAGATAGATAGATAGATAGATAGATAGATAGATAGATAGATAGATAGATAACAGATCGATCGATAGATAGAAAGATAGAGAGATAGATAGAGAGATAGATAGATAGAAAGATAGAGAGATAGATAGAGAGAGATAGAGAGAGAGATAGATAGATAGATAGATAGATAGATAGATAGAATGGGAGACATCGGTTAGATATTGGCTGGGTGGAGGGAAATCCTTCCTCTGTGACATTCCGGGATCCCGGGTTTCGCGGGAAAGGCTCACTGTATTGTACATTTTCATGCGGTGAAACAAACACATATCTTGTAGCGGTGTTCCCAGCTTTGGACGGTGTGGGACAAATAGTCTATGATAGATACATAATATTAATAATAAAGCAGCCGCTAGTAAGATCTTGATTGTAATTTTTCCCAGGGCAGTGAGGAGACAATGGGAAGTGTATTATAGAGAACTCTTGTATTGTGAGCCTGAAGAGCCAGAGACAAGTGAAGCTGAGTTTTCTGTGTAACACGAGCTCCCCCTACTGGCTGCTGGTGTCTGTTGCAGTATGCGCCCATTATGTGCGGGATAACAATGAATAAGGGCAGACATTGAGTTAATTATAGAATATATGGGGGCCTCCAGTGCAAACCTCCTTCATAAAATGCTAGTACCCTGGCTGATATGCTAATCAATTGGCTTCCATACTTTCCTGAGACTTAGTATGCAGATCAGGAATGTTAGAGAAAAGTCATAGGTCTTAAAGTGAACCTTTTATTTGCCCATGCATAAAGTAAAAGGTTGGCTCCTCCCCTCCCCAGCAGCATATACTCATCTTTCCTTTGCTGCCTTGCTCCTCTGTCCAGGTACTTGGAAGGAGATCAGTGAACCAATTGTTTTATTGTTCTATCCTTCATGGACAATAACAATCAGCAATTTGCCCTAAACATGTGGTATTGTAATGTAAACATTTTGATCGAAATTGTTATATACATACACACGGTATATACAGTATATTATAATTGTTTTCTTTGTTCCTCCTCCCAGCCCTATTTAGCTTAACCGCCCTATTATTTACCAGAGTACATGAAAATCTATCTATCTCTCCAAATATTTTCAATTAATCAATCAATAAAATAAATGGTTAAAAATATCAATCAACCTGGGAAATCTATCTATCTATCTTTGTATCTTATCTTCCCAATCTCTCCAAATCATATCAGTTATTCAATCAAATACCAGATCTATCAACCAGTGAAGTCTATCTATGTATCTATCTATCTAATCTATCCATCCATCCATTATCTATCTATCTATCTATCTATCTATCTATCTATCTATCTATCTATCTATCTAATCCATCCATCCATCCATTATCAATCTATACATCCATTATCTCTCTCTCTCTCTCTCTCTCTCTAACCATTCCTTTCTATCTATCTAATTCTAAATCAATTATCAATTATTGAATCCATTAACAGATTAATCAATGAATAGATCAAACAACCAGCAAAAACTATCTATCTATCTATCTATCTATCTATCTATCTATCTATCTATCTATCTATCTTTGTATCTTATCCTACCAATCTCTCCAAATCTTATCAGTTATTCAATCAAATAACAGGTCTATTAACCAGTGAAATCTATCTATCCATCTATCCATCTATCTATCTATCTATCTATCTACTGTATCTATCTACTGTATCTATCTACTGTATCTATCTATCTATCTATCTATCTATCTATCTATCTATCTACTGTATCTATCTATCTATCTATCCATCTGTTATCTATCTATCCATCCACCCTTTCGAATAAAACTGAGTGAGCCTTCAGGAGTCATCCATTCAGAACTAGTTGTGCTGCTTTTATCCCTGACGCAGTAATTACCTTTGAATTTTTGCACTTGCGGTAATCATTCAGTGTACTGGGACTCCTGCAGTTCACTCCATAAATACACGCACAGTTTAGACAAGTGTAACAAATAGACCGCTGGCTGCATTTTTAAAATTATCAGAGCATGTACAAAAACACATGCACCCCTGTCCTGCGGTGTTCCCATTAGTGTCCTCCTTAGTATAATAGATGCCCTGCTTGTGATGCACCTTCCCTGCATAGGACACAGAGGGCGTCCCATGTATCTTATCAGCATCCCATGGTGTCCTCCTACAGCTTGCCATTAGGACATGTAACATTTGTATGGAGCTGCGGGAGGAGCTGCGGGAGGGGCTGCGAGAGCTCCGGCGTGCTTCCTGGATCTGGTGCAGTTTGCTTGATGTAGTCATTTATTGTCATTAATTATATCTGCTTCTTCTCACAAAAAGTATTTAAAGCTGAACTCCGGCCTTCCATTTTCTTGTAGAAAGTTATCTCCTGTATTGAAACTGATTCCTCTGCATTCCCGGTGAACTTGCATCTCCACAATATAACCCTTTGAAACTGCAGCAACTATCTTAAGCCACCTTCATGGCCTGTTTGAATGACCTCCATCTTTTATGAATCACTTCTCCTCCAGATTCCGTACTGTTGGTGAAACCCGAATGCTCTAGCAATTATTATTTTTTGGAGAATATACAGGAAAGAGTGAGGAGAGATGGCCAGGAGAGAAAGAAGAGAGACAGCCAGGAGAGAGAGAGCGAGGAGAGACAGCCAGGAGAGAAAGTGAGGAGAGACAGCCAAGGGAGAGAGAGCAAGGAGATACAGCCAGGGGAGAGTCTGAGGAGAGACAGCCAGAGGAAAGAGCGAGGAGAAACAGCCAAGAGAGAGTGTGAGGAGAGGCAGCCAGGAGAGAGTCTGAGGAGAGGCAGCCAGGAGAGAGGGTGAGGAGAGACAACAGAGAAAGCAAGGAGAGACAGCCAGGAGGATGAGTGAGGATGAGAATATACAGGAAAGAGTGAGGAGAGATGGCCAGGAGAGAAAGAAGAGAGACAGCCAGGAGAGAGAGAGCGAGGAGAGACAGCCAGGAGAGAAAGTGAGGAGAGACAGCCAAGGGAGAGAGAGCAAGGAGATACAGCCAGGGGAGAGTCTGAGGAGAGACAGCCAGAGGAAAGAGCGAGGAGAAACAGCCAAGAGAGAGTGTGAGGAGAGGCAGCCAGGAGAGAGTCTGAGGAGAGGCAGCCAGGAGAGAGGGTGAGGAGAGACAACAGAGAAAGCAAGGAGAGACAGCCAGGAGGATGAGTGAGGAGAGACAGCCAGGAGGATGAGTGAGGAGAGACAGCCAGGAAAGAAGGGAGGCAGCCAGGGGAGAGAGAGGTGAGTGTGCCCTTTAAGACATATCGCACCCTGTGTTTCAGACACCTACTTGCTCCCTGAGTTCCAGCACCCTCTGTGTCCAATGGCCCCTCCATGCACTTAAGTTGGCACACCAGGACCCCGTGGTTGCCCCTGTCTGCCTGACATCCTGACATCTTGTG